TAAAAATGGGAAAACATTTTGAGTAAACACCCCACCAAAGCAGATACACAAGTGGCAAATAAGCACATACAGAGATGCTCAACACTGTTAGTTCTTAAGAAAACGCAAGCCAAAATCACAGTCATATTCCACTACATACTCACTGGAATGACTGAAATCTTAAAAAATGAGAATCCCAAGTGCTGACAATGATGTGGAGCAACTGGCACTTTCATACATTTTGCTGTTGAAACGTAAAATGGTATAACCACTTTGAAGAGCACTTGACAGTTTCTTATAAACCTACACTTACCCTTTAACCAAACCATTCCTCTCCTAGTATTTGTCAAGAGAAATGAAGACATATTTTCACAAAAAAATTGTTCTCATATGTTCATAGGAGCTTCATTTATAATAGCTTAAAACTTGGAACAATCTGGGGCACCTGGGTGGCTCAGTTGATTAAGCATCTGACTTCGGCTTAGGTCATGATCTCGACGTTTCTGAGTTCAAGTCCCGCATTGTGCTCTGTGTTCACAGCTTGGAGCCTGGAGCCTGTTTCAGATTCTGTGTCTCCCTCTCTCTCTCTGCTCCTCCCCCACTCACGCTCTTTTTCTCTCAAAAATAAATAAACATAACTAATTAACTAACTAATTAATTTAAAAAACTTGAAATAACCCAAATTTCTCTCAGTTAATGAATGCACAGATTGTGGCATATTCATATAATGGAATAAAAAGGAAAAAATATGCAACAGAATGGATGAATATCAGGAACATTGTGCTGAGAGAAAGCATCCAGTTACAAAAAGTCATACACTAAATGATTCCATTTATATGAAATTCTGGAAGAGACAAAGCTATAGCAACAGAAATCAGATCAGTAGTGGCTTGGAGCCAGGAGTGGAGAAAGGAGATTTTCTACTGAGGGGCTGACCCAGGGAACTTTTTGGGGTAATGAAAATGTTTTCTATATAGTTGTGGTCATGGTTACTGGACTGTAATCTAATTATATAATTATAATTGGTGAATTTTATTCCATATAAATTATGCCTCAATAAACCTGATTTAAAATAAAAATACTTCATAGGTGGTGCAGTGTACTTCCTATTGCATCACTTAATGCCTGTTATGAGCCAAGGACTACTTGGGAAAACAAACCACACTAAGTACTTCAAGAGGAGATTTTATTTAAGGGATTGGTTATACAGGTGTGGGATATCTGAAAGAGTAAATAAAAAGCACTGAAAAAACCAAAAGATGATAACTGAAGGAACTTCCCTAAAGTTAACTTCCCTAAAGCTGAGGGAACAAAATGGAACTGGTATCTTTAAACTCAGCGGAGGGACCTCCCAGAGTTGAAAGTGAAACCTCTGAGGAAGGGGTGCCCCTAGGCTACTGCTGGTATCTCTGCAGAGATGAGCGAGATTAGACTTTTTTGAGTGTTACACAAGGGAGGGAATGATTGCCACCAGGAGGAAGGGCCATGGTTAGGGCAGTCCAGGCAGGAAAAGGAAAAATGGAAAGGAATAATCCCGTTTCTGTCCTTTTCATACCCTCCAAATCTCTAATGGCTCTTATTGGTGAAATCTATCAGGGACTCATTTATGGAAAGAGAATATTTTTTCCAGAGCCCAACCTCAGAATCAGAGAACAAATTATAGGAAGTATGGATGTGGACCTGAAAGACAACAGTAAATGATGCCTCTCATTTATCCCACATTTAATAATATTAAGATTAATCAGTAATTTCAGTTGGTTTCATCTTAATTCCTCTATTATTATATTCCTAGTCAATATTTAACATTCATTGGTTGTTATTTCCTAAATTCATGATTTATTTTGGGGTTATAACACAGAAATTTTCTGATTTTAGCATTCTTATGCTAATTAGTGTGCTTATTAGTTGGAATTCTGTAAAGAAGAATGTACCCTCATTATCTATTTGGTTATCCTGAAATACAGTTTGTACAGGAAAGGCAGGAAAAGTCTTGATTATTTTATCCATTTCATAGTTGGTGACCTGGCAACTTCCAAAAATGGTTAATAAGTTAGTGGCTTTTGTTAGTATTGGAAACTCAGCACTTTTGTGCATATATTTGATGCTTTTAAATCCATTATAGGCATTATTATTCTTTTTTAATATTCAGATTGTCTCATCTTAGGCCAGTGGGAGCCTTCGTGGGTTTCTTGTTATTGTTGTTGTTGTTGCTGCTGTTTCCTGTATTTTTATTCTGGATTATTCTTGTTAAAATATCAAATATGTCCAATTTAAATCTGCCCCCCCCCATTTGACTCTAAATCTCTCAGATCTCGGAATAAATTTGCAATTTATTTTGCACTTTTCTCACTTAATAAGCTGCTAATGAATACTTGAATTGTCTGGTATTGAGCTACCTTATGGAAACATTCTTAAATGGCCTCTCAATAGTGCAAACAATTTTAAAAGCCAACTTTAATTATAAGGCTTAATAAAGTTCTTCAACTCTAACCAAATTTGCAAGTCCAGTCTTGATCCTGGGTATTATGCACGTTCCTGGGGCAAGGTTGGGGGAGGAAATGGTGCAAAAAGTAAGTAGAAGAGAATTATACAATAGAGGAAGTACCTTAAGATTTTAAATCAGTATGTTTTTCTAAAATAAAAGATCATAAGTAATTTTCCCGAAATGGATTCAGTTTAGCTCCTACTGTTGATATGAAGACCATCACTATAGCACGTGGGAGCAAGAAGATAGCAAAACACAAATTCTGGGAGTCACTTTTTTGGGAAGCCTTTTTTTCCTTCAGGAAGAGTTAACAGTCTTTTGGTTTGAATTAACACTGCTGTTTATCCATTTCTAGGTAAATAAATAGGTACATTGCAGTACCTCCAACCAGATGCCCGAACTAAAACTTGGGGAAATTTCCTAAGCTGTTTCTTCTCTGAGTGCCATCGACACACCTCTTAAAACCTTCCAAATCCTTGATAGTACCTCCAAAAGTATAACTGAGTTCCCTGTTGCTCCACATCCTCACCAACCATTGCTATTATCAAACTTTTAAATTTAAAGCATTGTGTATGGTATGTCTGTGGTGGTGTCTCATTGTGGTTTTTAATAAGTCTTTAAAATACTAGTAGATATAGTATTAAGAGAAGACTCCCCTCTCCCCCATATAATTTTTAATATATATGTAAATATATTTCCTGAAACAGCAAATGCAAAGGCCCTGCAGTTAGACTTATTTAAGAAACAGTAAGAAAACCAGTCATCTGGAGCAAGATGCAAAACTGTAGTCAAGATCTTGGAATCAGAACCAAAACTAATCTAATCAGCGGTTCTCAATTTTGGTATTTACATGAAAACTCAGTGTGTTTGTTAAAATTGAACATTTGGGGGTTGCATTCCTCAGAGATTGATTCATTAGTTTAGACCTTGGTCTCTAATATCTAAATTTAAAAATAAGTATCTCAAGTGATTCTGATGCAGCTGGTTTTGGTTCACAGCATGAGAAACACTACTTAGAGAATAATGCTTCTTCCTAAATGAGTATAGTATTGCATATTACAATGTAATTTATGAGACTATTTTGTCTATCATCTGGTTAACCCTAAAGCTGTGATTTTCTGTCTTTGAGGGTATATGCAGCAGTGTTTTACAAAATTAAAATTAGGCCCACTTGGAGAAGTTTAAGACAGACTTTGCAGTAAGTGAAGGCCTCTGATCATGTTGCAAAATTAAGAGTAATTATGGGGAAGTGGTATGGTGAAAGATCACTGGTGTTGCTTTCAGAAGAGGTAGATTTGAGACTCAGCTGTGTCATCTTAGGCAGAGTCCTTAACCTCCCTGGGTTTCTATTACTTACCTAAAATTAGTATTAAAACTTTCCCACCAACTTTGCAAACCTGCATAAGGGTCAAAACGACTGAGTGGCAAAGTGCTAATACAAAAGTAAGATCAAATCATTGTTAATGGAACGATCATTGTTTTTGATTGACACACCTGCTTCAATTTAAAGAAACAATATTTAACTTCAAGGACATTTGTTTCTTACAATAATCTCAGCATCTTCCTACTAAAAGGAAAACCATAAAAGCATTTTACAGTGTAGGCAACATTCAAAGAAAACTTTGAGTGACGTGACCAAGGATACAAAATTAATTTACAGATAAGACCAGGATTCAAGTCTTCTGATTACTAGCCCCGATCACTTTCCACCATACTTTATTCAGTTGTTTTTCTCATTCTTTATTATTATCCACGGGCCAGGTGATTCTGACACACCAGGGTTTGAGCACCACTGTTTTTAGTGCTTTAGATGTGGTAGTGGGATGGCAATCAATGTCTTTACCTTTTATTGTACTTATTTGATAAACAGCTTTACTGAGGTATTATTCACATACCATACAATCCACCAATCTAACAATGCAATGGTTTTTAGTATAATCACAGAGATGTACAACTATTACCACAATTAATTTTAGAACATTTCATCACCCCAAAAGAAACCGACTATCTGATAGCAGTCATTTTACATTCTCTCCTTCCCACTGCCTCTGTAAATCTACTTTCCGTGTAGATTTGCCTTTTCAAGACCCTTCATATAAACGGAATCATACAATATGGGACCTTTTGTGACCGGCTTCTTCCACCTGGAGGGTTTTCAAGATGCAATTATTGCGTTAAAATTACCGGGGTAACAACAGAGTAGTTTATTAATATAACGGAGGTAAAAAGTCACCCACAATCCCATTCTAATACATTCAAATCATACTTTTCTTTTTCTTTTTTTTCTTCTTCTTCTCTGCAGGTGTCTTTTCATCTGATTGGAAAACAGACCGAGGATGTCCCTCATCCCCACCCCATCTCACTTATGCCCCCCGCCCCCAGGCCCAGCAGCCCACCTCCGGGAGCTCAGACACAGCACCCCGCCAGCAGTGGATAAGCAGCCCCGCCCATCCCCTCGGGCGCCTCCCTTACGTCACTGTTTCTGGCCTCAGACCCCCTCCCTCCATCTCCGTCGCGGTTTCTTTGACAGAGCGCTATGGCGGCGGCCGGGTCTGCAGGGGTACCGGCCACCGTGTCGGGAAAGCAAGAGTTTTACCAGCTTCTGAAGAACCTGATCAATCCAAGCTGTATGGTGCGGAGGCAGGCAGAAGAAATCTATGAAAATATTCCAGGTCTGTGTAAGACTACATTCCTCTTAGATGCTGTCAGAAATAGAAGAGCAGGTTATGAGGTGAGACAAATGGCTGCCGCGCTGCTACGACGGCTTTTGTCCTCTGGGTTTGAGGAAGTCTATCCAAATCTGCCTTCTGATGTTCAGAGGGACGTCAAGATTGAACTGATACTGGCCGTTAAGTTAGAAACACATGCTAGCATGAGGAAAAAACTTTGTGATATTTTTGCAGTGCTGGCCAGGAACTTGATAGATGAGGATGGCACTAACCACTGGCCTGAAGGTTTGAAGTTCCTTATTGATTCAATCTACTCTAAAAATGTAGTTCTTTGGGAAGTTGCACTTCACGTTTTCTGGCACTTTCCTGGGATTTTTGGGAACCAAGAGCGGCATGATTTGGATATCATCAAACGTTTGTTGGACCAGTGCATTCAGGATCAAGAACATCCAGCAATCAGGACATTATCTGCTAGAGCTGCAGCTGCATTTGTACTTGCTAATGAGAATAATATTGCTCTTTTCAAGGACTTTGCAGACTTGCTTCCTGGAATCTTACAGGCTGTGAATGACTCATGCTACCAAGATGATGATTCAGTGCTAGAATCCCTTGTTGAGATTGCAGATACCGTACCTAAATACCTGGGTCCTTATTTAGAAGATACTCTGCAGTTGAGTCTGAAGTTATGTGGAGACTCTAGACTTAGTAATCTGCAACGCCAGTTGGCCCTTGAAATAATAGTGACCTTGTCTGAAACTGCAACCCCAATGTTGAAAAAACATACAAATATAATTGCACAGGCAGTTCCTCATATATTAGCAATGATGGTTGATCTACAAGATGATGAGGACTGGGTAAATGCCGATGAAATGGAAGAAGATGATTTTGACAGCAATGCCGTTGCTGCTGAGAGTGCACTAGACAGACTGGCTTGTGGGCTTGGTGGGAAACTTGTTTTACCAATGACTAAGGAGCACATCATGCAGATGCTTCAGAGCCCTGACTGGAAATATCGACATGCTGGATTAATGGCCTTATCTGCCATTGGAGAAGGATGCCATCAGCAAATGGAATCAATTCTAGATGAAACAGTTAACTCTGTTTTGCTTTTTCTTCAGGATCCTCACCCAAGAGTGAGGGCTGCAGCCTGTACTACACTTGGGCAGATGGCTACAGATTTTTCTCCTAACTTCCAAAAGAAATTCCATGAAACAGTGATTGCAGCTTTGTTGCGTACCATGGAAAATCAAGGTAATCAGCGTGTACAATCACATGCGGCTTCTGCACTTATTATTTTTATTGAAGACTGTCCGAAAACATTGCTAGTTCTATATTTGGATAGTATGGTGAGAAATCTACATTCCATCTTGGTGATTAAACTTCAAGAATTGATTCGGAATGGAACTAAATTGGCCTTGGAACAGCTTGTGACAACCATTGCCTCAGTTGCAGATACAATAGAAGAAAAATTTGTTCCATATTATGATATATTTATGCCATCACTAAAGCACATTGTTGAGCTTGCTGTTCAGAAGGAACTCAAGCTTCTGAAAGGAAAAACTATTGAATGCATTAGCCATGTTGGTCTTGCTGTTGGGAAGGAAAAATTTATGCAAGATGCATCAAATGTGATGCAGCTATTGTTGAAGACACAATCAGACTTAAATAATATGGAAGATGATGACCCTCAGACATCTTACATGGTTTCAGCATGGGCTAGAATGTGCAAAATTCTTGGAAGTGATTTTCAACAGTACCTTCCACTAGTTATTGAGCCTCTTATTAAGACTGCTTCAGCTAAACCTGATGTTGCTCTCTTAGACACACAAGATGTGGAAAATATGAGTGATGATGATGGATGGCAATTTGTAAATCTTGGAGACCAACAAAGTTTTGGAATTAAGACTTCAGGACTTGAAGCAAAAGCAACTGCTTGCCAGATGTTGGTTTACTATGCTAAGGAGTTAAGGGAAGGATTTGTGGAATATACAGAACAGGTTGTAAAGCTGATGGTTCCTTTATTGAAATTTTATTTCCATGACAATGTTCGAGTGGCAGCAGCAGAGTCTATGCCTTTTCTCCTGGAATGTGCAAGAACTCGTGGCCCAGAATATCTTGCACAGATGTGGCAATTCATATGTGATCCCTTAATCAAGGCTATTGGGACTGAACCTGATACAGATGTACTCTCAGAAATAATGAATTCTTTTGCAAAGTCCATTGAAGTAATGGGAGATGGGTGCCTTCTTGATGAACACTTAGAAGAACTAGGAGAAATATTGAAAGCAAAACTTGAAGGACACTTTAAAAACCAAGAACTGAGACAGGTTAAAAGACGGGAAGAAAACTACGACCAGCAGGTTGAAATGTCTCTGCAAGATGAGGATGAATGTGATGTTTATATTCTGACCAAAGTATCAGATATTTTGCACTCATTATTTAGTACTTACAAGGAAAAGATTTTACCATGGTTTGAACAGCTTCTTCCATTAATTGTAAATCTAATTTGTTCGAGTAGGCCATGGCCAGATAGACAGTGGGGATTGTGCATATTTGATGATATTATAGAGCACTGCAGTCCAACCTCATATAAGTATGTAGAATATTTTCGGTGGCCAATGCTACTAAATATGCGAGATAACAACCCTGAAGTCAGGCAAGCAGCTGCTTATGGCTTGGGTGTTATGGCACAGTTTGGTGGAGATGATTATCGTTCTTTATGTTCAGAAGCTGTCCCATTGCTGGTAAAAGTTATTAAGTGTGCAAATTCCAAAACCAAAAAAAATGTCATTGCTACAGAGAACTGTATCTCAGCGGTAGGGAAGATTTTGAGGTTTAAGCCTAACTGTGTAAATGTAGATGAAGTTCTTCCACATTGGTTATCATGGCTTCCACTGCATGAGGATAAAGAGGAAGCTATTCAGACTTTGAGTTTTCTCTGTGATTTAATTGAAAGTAACCACCCAGTTGTACTTGGTGCAAATAATTCCAATCTTCCCAAAATAATCAGTATAATTGCAGAAGGAAAAATTAATGAGACTATTAATTATGAAGATCCTTGTGCTAAACGCCTAGCTAATGTTGTGCGTCAGGTACAGACTTCTGAAGAATTATGGTTGGAATGCATATCGCAACTTGATGAGGAGCAGCAGGAAGCTCTACAAGAGTTGCTAAATTTTGCTTGATGCACGTTAATGTCACTTGAATATCTTCTACCATAAAAGTAATTCCAAATAACTATTGTGAATGGATTCCATTACAATTGTGAGAACTGTTCTCTCCTTGCCAAGCAGTTTATATTCCTTCCCTATATGTTTCTCCAGGATTAGTCAGTGTTACAGCCTTGTGTTCACCTTGCATGTTTTATCTTTTAAATATAGAGCTTGGTGATAACCATTGTCTTAGTGTTTGTCACCTTTCCCCTAGTTGATGTGAAGTACATAAATTGTTGCTACTTGTCTGAATTATTGATGCTGGGCAAACAATATACTTGTGTGAAGATGTCATGCTGCCCATCACAAGGTGCTGAGAGCTTACAAAGATAGGAGAACTTCCAAGGCAAACTATTTGGAATTGTGGGTGAAAGATATAGTGGCAAGCTTATTCCTCCGGGTGCTTTTCATGGTAATGGGAGGATGCTGAAATTGGGAGATACTGCCTTGGATGTGGAGAGATTTCTCTATATATTATGTGAACTTTTTCATCATGTCCTCCTGAGAACTGGGTGAAGCATATCCATATTCTAGTCCTCAAGGTGTCCAGCTGAGAGTTAAGAGAATTGTAAAATCTTATCCTGACTGGTCTCTATTTTTCAAGTTATCCAGGACTCTAAGAACTATAGTTACTGCAAAGGGTATCCTGGTACATGGAACATTGGTAGCATGTAACATACTATTCTGCAGTGTTTGACAAATAGTAAGTAATCAATATTTGTGGGAGTCAATCAGTATTATGTGTTTAAGCAGAATATTGCATTGTGTATATATGCCATTTTCCCCCTGAAAGCAGCCCAACAAGGAGAGAAGCCCTGATTTAAAATGGAGTTTAAATAGATTTCTATTTTGAAGAAGTTCTTAATAGATTCTATAGTAGCACTGAAGATGAAAGGGAAGCAAAATTAATTTTATCTTTAAACATGAGAAAAAACAGCTTTGACTCCAGTCAAATAGCAGTAGATGTGCATTTTAAGAAAACAGCTAATCTAGAGTTAATTAATTGGAATGTTGATCTTTAATGTCCAGCTTTTTGTAGGGTAGAAAAAAAGCTTTCTACTCAGTGAATCATTGACCCAAAATTTAAGAACAAATGTATCTGTCATGATTTCCTGGGGTATTGTGAGTACTGTGTATGTAAAGTATTTAGCAAATATTTAAGACCTAGTAAGTGCTTAATAAATGGTACCTGTTAATGTTGTTGTTTGTTTGCACCTCTGCTGTGTGTGTGTGTGTGTGTGTGTGTGTGTGTGTGTGTGTGTTAATGGTTTGGAATTCCTTTTACATTAGAATTTCCCTGATTCACTCCCTGCCAGTTCAGATGAGCAGGCCATGTAGGCTGTTGTGGACAGAAATATGAAGTTGAGATTTTAGATATGGATTTCCCGTCCATTCCCTGCAATGATTTATTATTTATTACAATAAATAATAGGAAAGGACATTAAGTATAGTATAGTCACAATTTTATTTAAGATAAATAAAAGTATACATAAATAAATAGAAAAATTCTGCAACAAGATATTAATAAAATTTTCTCTGGGTGGTGGGATTAAATGGCAATTTTTCTTCTCACTAATAATTTACCTACAACCAACATATTTCTTGTATAATAGTTTTTTTAAGCTTAAGGATCTGATCCTACTTTCATAAAAGCTAAGATCACAATCATTGTGTCCTCTCCATGACCTATAGAGCTGTGGTTCCTTCAACTCCTACCTCTTTATCTTAATTGATATCCCATCAGAAGCCCTTGATCAAATTTCTAGCAATTCCCTACACTCTTGTGCATGAAAATTGGAAATTCTGCCAGATGGCCTTGGAGAATTAGGTACCTTGGAGAATTTTGAAGTGTGACAGACCTAGATTTGAATTTTGGCAAACTACTTTCTTAACCTAAGCATCAGTTTCTACATCTGTAAAATAGGCATAATACCTATGATTGTTGTGAGAATTAAAGGTGATAATGAATGTAAGGTGCTTAGTGGCACAGGAGTCAATAAATACAATCTATATTATGAGAGTCATGAAATAGAGTTGGTGGCTAAAGATAAAGAGGGGATATTTGCTGGGGGAATGGTCAAAGGAAATGAAGGATGCTCAATGAGACTCATTTTGGGTTGCCATTTGCTGAAATTAGACTGTTCCCTGGCTTTGTTGCTGTGAGCTGAGGTACATCTAAGGGCTCCGAGGAGAAAGCGAAATGTCTCATAAATTACAAATGACTGATGAGAGGAGACCTTGAAAACTGGATAATGGGTGTCCAGTGGGTGGGAGTGTCAATACTCAATAAGTGTTCTCATTTAACTATTTTACCTAATTCTGCTACTTAACTTACTGCTACTCTTTCCCCCCCTTCTCCCAAAAGCTTTGAAGTTTTGACTTTTATTGGTTCATTAAAGGTTCACAATAATCAAGGATCAGAATATCCTGACCATTTGTTTAGATGACTTGTACTTTTTAAAATGCTTGATTTCTAGGACATAATTGCCAGTTTCAAGCTAGAGCATTCTGTGTAAATAGAAACATATGTGCATCTTTCTCTTTTTACACAAATTTTTAAATGCTTATTTATTTTTTGAGATACAGAGAGAATATGAGCGGGGGAGGAGCAGACAGAGAGGGACACAGTATCCAAAGCAGGCTCTAGAGGCTGCGAGCTGTCAGCACAGAGCCTGATGTGGGTCTGGAACTCACCAGCTATGAGATTGCAACCTGAGCCAAATCGGTTGCTTAATCGACTGAGCCACCCAGGCACCCCAAGATTTGCATCTTTCTAATAGAACATAAGAAAATAGTAATATCTGCTTTATGGAACCATTACACTCTTTCACCCCACTTACTTTAAGCATTACCTAATTAAAGTGAATGAGGGGTCCACGTTTTAGACATTCAAAAGTAATTTTTATTTTTTTATTTTATTTTTTTTTAATTTTTTTTTCAACGTTTATTTATTTTTGGGACAGAGAGAGACAGAGCATGAACGGGGGAGGGGCAGAGAGAGAGGGAGACACAGAATCGGAAACAGGCTCCAGGCTCTGAGCCATCAGCCCAGAGCCTGACGCGGGGCTCGAACTCACGGACCGCGAGATCGTGACCTGGCTGAAGTCGGACGCCTAACCGACTGCGCCACCCAGGCGCCCCTCAAAAGTAATTTTTAAATGTATGGTGACATTGTAAGGCTAACGACCTGACTAATACTGTGCAGCTTAGACTTGAAATATTTCAAAACTTTATAACCCCAAGGATTTTTAGTAAGTTTCCATTCCCTTCCTTTATTCTTAGCAGATCTCAAGAATGGAGGTGGGAATATGTTAATTTTAACTGAAAACAAGACATTACTTAAAATAGGAATTGGTCAAGAACTGGACCAGAGTTTTAGAAATTAACAGTTTTACAAATTATCTTTTTTTTTTTTTTTT